TGAGATAGCTGATTTCATTCGAGGGGATGGACGACGCGTTCATAGTACGGCCGCCGCCGGGCGACGACCATCGAGACGCAGTCCGTGGCCACCGGCTGCCGACTGATCTTAGCCACTGGGTCTCGGCGTGCGTGATACACGGTATCCGGCACAATGAAGCTTTCGCAACGTCGGAAGTCCAGAGGCTCTGCTCAGAATCGCACAACAAAGCCTTTTCTCGCGCCCGCAACGCTCGGCTCATTATGAGCAACACCATCCCGAACATGGAATCCGACGATAACAAGCCGTATTGCATTTGGTATCCAGACGTGGCTAGCGAAGAAACGTACCGCCAACTGGCAAAGCGTTACCCCGACATGCGGTATGTGGTCGGCCGGGCCTGTGCCGTAGCTGGCTATGCCGGCCTCTACGACGAACTCGGCCTCCTGCCTGAAATCTCTATCGCGGAAGAGGCCAGAGATAATTCCTCAAACGAAGGATCTACAACCATATTCAACACCATAATGCGCCAGCCTGTGTGCTACGCAATTCTCGACGACTACTCCCGGTCTTCCCACCCCGACGGGCCAACGTCGCCCGCGTTTATGAATGGCGACACAGCTGTGCGGTCCTCGTTGGACGTCCGACTCGGGCTAGACAAGTACCAGGATTGGGGTAAGCACTACTTCAACATCGCGGAAGACTACAACATCGACGAAACCTCATCGGAAAAGACCAACAATGAGGAACTCGCCCCTGAGCATATTGCGTTGTTCTACACGCCCCTCCTCTCGCACCTGCCGACCACCAACAAGGATGCTTTGATCCTCATGGCGGCTTATGAGGGGAATATTGAACGATATGTCCGCCTCCGCCGGCCGAAAATGCTCCACGACGAGCACGCGGCCGTCCTTCGCGGCATCTACCACAACACCACATTTGCCAAGTGGTGGTATCTTCAGGAAATCGATCCAAGCAACCGCTCCATCAGGACCGCTGCCCTGGCGCGTTTCATCATGGTCAACGACCTGTCACACGTCACACCCTCCAGCCCCAGCAAACACCAAGTGCCCGCAATGATATGGTGGCCCCTGATTCCAGAGGAAGAGACGCTGAAGGAGCTCGTCCGCCGCCGGCCTGATATGAAGTTGCAAGTGGCCATGGCATGCATCGCGGGCGACTACAGGGCTCTCTGGGAGGATCTCGCGCCGCCGCCGTGCTCGGAGCTCTGGGACCAGGCGCGGCAGGCACAGAGTCGCAGCTGGCCAAACAGCCCCAACAGAAACTACTACGTCGACTACCTGGAGCAACATGCCAAGGAACTGAGGTGCGATATTGTGGACTTGCGAACAAACTCCGAATGTGAGGACGCGGCTGTCCGCAATAAGGAGCCGACGACGACATGGCTCGACTCCGGGATCTATGCCCATGATTTTGCGCTGATGGACTCTAATCCCGACGAGGACGTTTATTCGACCACGGGTCAGGCTAATGCGGCTAGTTGGGAGTTGTTGATATGCTCAAGCGAGGAGATGAGGCGGCGGGCGCGGGAGGAGAACGGTCTTAGACTGTACGACGACTAGGTACTTCCAACTAGAGTTTCCAGATAACTAAGCGTCATCTTGACAAGTCTCTAGTTCGTGAATGCTTATTGATCTACAACGAGGTTGTCGTATAGCAGCTCGCCCACTGTATGCGCTAAACCAGCCGCAGCGACCAAGCGGTCTTTTTCGATTTAGCCACAGGAAATCACAAAGGAGAGCCAAAGAACCTCTGGTCAGATCGATTCTATTTTCTTTCCATTGAAATACAGTTGTCCAAAAGAGTCTTTCGACAAGAAAGTGAAACTCGCCATATGCCAGACTCAGCACCAGTCTCTGAAGGTCTCACAATGGGTATCATGGCGCCCCAGTACACTTACAAGAATAGAACAAAACATGCCATGTTGCGCTCATGCATTTAGATATGCTCAGTGACGCTTGGCCTTGCGCTTGCAGCCAGCCTTGGAGCCTCCGGAAGTAGAAGGAGTGGCAGAGACAGCAGCAGAAGAGACAGAGCTGGCAGAAGGAGCACCACTGGGACCAGCACCGCTAGGGGCAGCGCCGCTGGGGAAGGTGCCGTTGGGAGGGCCACCAGCTCCTCCAGGGCCACCGCCAGAGTTTCCAGAGGAGGTGTCGACACCGCCGCCGGCATAGTAGTGAGCGGCAGCACTAGCAGAGCTGGAATAGTCGGCAGTGGTGTTGATACCAACAGTGATCCAGGCCAGAACACCCTGAGAAATGTCGTCGCCGAGGAGAACGTACTGGACAAAGGGGTCGTAGTCGCCGGTGGCCTCGCCGAAAGCAATGCTATCGGCAGAGTTCAGGGTCAGCTCCTGCTGGTTGGTGCTATAAGGGGCGACGGCCTCAACTTCGGAAATGAGAGACTGATCGAAGAAGAGCTGGCCGACATGGTTGGTTGTACCATCGACATAGGTGTCATTGTCGAGTACGGTAGCGCCGGAGGTGCTCTTGACGTGAATGTGAGTAGCACGGCCAGTGTAATGACCCGGGAACATGGTATCAAACTCAACAACACCATCGTCATCGGTCTGCTGAACACCGCGACCGAAGGTGGAGTTAAGACCACCCTGGCCAGTGGCGGAGACACCGGAGTAGACGCCGGTAGCGTTGCAGTGCCAAGCGTCGATCAGGATCTCGGGCACTCCAGCACAGGTAGCGACATCGACAAATTGGACATCGAGATGCAGAGGCACACCAGACTGGCCATCGGTCATCTCGCTGCGGATGAGCTCGCCAGCAACCCAGTAGGGACCGATAGTGGTCTCAGGCACGACGACGCAGCTAGCGTTCTGAGCGAAGAGGGTAGCAGGGTCGGTTTCCAGAGTGTATCCCGCTGAAGAGGCGTGGTCAATGGCCGCCCAGGTGTTCAGATTCTCCTCAGTGCGGCGGCGGATAGGCGCTGTAAGTCGAGTTGTTAGTATTCGCGAACTTGATTTTGAATCTCTGAAAGAGCTGTTGAGACTTACCATTGGCAGCAATGGATCGCTTGGCGCGAAGCTCCTTGAGCTTGGCATCGCGACGCTGGATGGCACGCTGCTTGAGGGCGACATCGGCAGCAGAGCCGGCACAAGCGTTGAGAGCCCGGCGATTGTTGGCGGCAACGGAGCGGCGAAGAGCCATCTCGCGCTTGTGGACCTGCGGGTCATGCTCCTCGCCCGGGTGAGCAACAGCTCCGGTCAGGAGGAGAGAGGCCGCCACGGCGACGCGGGTAATGGCAACCATGGTAATTTGGGTTGTGAGTTAAATGTCGAAAAAGAGAAGCCGGAAAAGAATGTTAACACCTCGAGTGAGAGGAACTGTAGAGCAACCGGTAAGAAGCGAAAGAAGACTGGTGATGATGAGAAAAGAAGAATAGAACTTCATCCACTGCTTCTCATCGTCCTTATGTACACCAGCTCAGCAAGGGAAGACATCGCCATGATGATTTGCCCCCCGACTACCAACTCCAGTTGGCAGGGCGAGTATGCTCCCGCAATCTTTTGCAAACTGCGTACGTAGCGGTGACTCGTCATCATCTTTGTGCCACAACATGGGTTCTGGCGTCGGCATAGACTGTGAACGGGTGCGATTGAGGCTGTAGTCAAATGCCAAGCCCCGGTATGTGGGAGCTTAGGCGGCGGAGGGTGTATCTTAGTGCGACTCCCGTACCTTGCGGGGAAGCACCGGCGAATCAGAGCGGCCTTAATTAAATCACCTGCACGTCCGAATGGTTCGGATTTTTGAGGAGTAATTAAGCCAGGGGTTAAAGATAAAATCAAGCGTAATGCCTTGTGGGGTCTGTGGATAGCATCTCCTGTGCTCTTCCACCGTAGCGCGCCTTCTGGACCAATTGTCTCGGGTGACGAGCAAACGCTATCCAGAATAGACGTTTACTACGGAGACACAGTCAGGTTTGTACTTTCCAGCCGTGTCTTGCATCATGGCTATCGACATACCAGGGTCGTGGACCAACCTCGGGTGTCGAAGCTAGGGGTAGCACAAGTTCCAAGCCGGGCTTAGCTTCTGTCTTGTACGCGTACGCCAACAGCCCGAGAGCAGCTCGCCGTTCTTTCTAAGCAAATCTACCATCGTGAGAATGTATTCCCTCATTGAAATGTTGAGGCGTCTGCCACTTCACGTGTCATTCGGTGCGTATGACAAAATGAAGGGATCATTTAGCTGGTCTGTAGTGCGACGACCAATAGATTCACATTTTGCATTCATCTCTGATGCTCCCACTTCACGAGACTGTTTGCGGTCCTTGGGAGCTGTTCATGACGGGTGAATTCGTACAGGTTCATAATACGCTGTGCCAGAGGCCGAATAACGCGTGCATATGAGAGCCATCCCGGGCCAGCATTTGTCATCCCAGAGGCCAGAGAAGAACGTTATTGGGACCGGGGAATGAACCAGTCCCGCGCCGCTGGCGACGTTATTGAGAATTTTGAAATTATTCCAATTATGTATAGAGTGAGATATTACCAATAATCCTCTGGTGACAAGGAAACAAGGTCGATGATATGATCAAGGAAGGAAAAGTCACCTTTAGTATCAAGCAAGAAGATTAGGCCTCACATGGTGTCTTGAGAAAGAAGGCGAGATCTTTGATCGCATCACGATATTTGCTAGATATTTTAGAGTCTTTCAAGACCGAACTTATTAGTCTGTCGTGCTGAGAACCAAAAATTAATGAAGAGATAGGTTGACGAAGAGCAGTCACAGGAAGAAAAGCCGCCACATGCGAAAAAAAAACCTCTTGACCAAAGAGGTTAACTACAAAGGCCCTCAAATCTAGACTTCAAAAGTGTTATTTTTAACTTTTACGTAGAATCGTCACTTTTGATTCTATTTCTCTGGTTTCTAAGCTTTCTTTTCCTATTCCTCTTTTTGTTTTCTCTTGCTGCTCCTAATATAGTAAGCTATAACAAGTACCCAAAGCTGTGTTTCTACTCCTATGCCTTTGGCTGAAATAATATGCAGTTAAACACCAGACTCACAACAAAAGTGTTCGCGTGGCCCAGTTTACCATTTGAGATCCGCCAGGCCATTCTCGAGCTCGTCATCAGTCACCAGAAACCAAAGCGCGACCTTGGCGAGCAACCAGATGGAAGAGGCACTGCTATATTCGCAACAGTCTCCACTGAATGGCAGTCTTTCTTCGAGGCAAAGCATTTTGGGATGCTGCTATTGACTCAGCAATGCCTCTCAGACTTCAAGAAAATCATTCAGGGTCGAAGGAGAAAATTGGTCAATCATGTTTGGCTTCGCATCGAGCTCAACCCTTACGACTGCAGATCGTGCTGGCTAATGGAAGATCCCCTGGACGAGATCAGCAATCGGGCGATCTTTACAGATGCTCTCAAAGTGCTTTTTGGATGTCTAAGCACCTGGGATTACTCCAGTGACCGAAGCGACAGAGGTTTGACGCTAGAGTTATCTGCATACTCCCCGACTGATACAGAACACTTTTTCAAAGAGTACGACTTTACGCACAACCCTTACTCAGATCCACCAGGGAACTTCCAGGCAACTTTAGCCGACAGAACGCATCCCAAGTTCCACGACCTCAATCACCTGTGGGAATCTGGCCGACGCGTAAATGATGACCAAAGACTATCCCCAAACTGCCTCCGCATTCATGGTCTAAAGGGTCTTTGTATCGTCCCATCAAATTATGACGATAGTCCGCCGTTTTCTGCTAAGAAATGGTTACCAGAAGTAGGAGTGGTTACCAAATTACTTATTAGGAGGCAAAATTACCGACTGATCCATTCTGATGGTCTCGGCCAAATCCTCGAGAGATTGAAAGGGCTCCAAGATGTCGTATGCGAAACACCGCAAATCCCTTCGCACCGGGCTCAGGCCAATTTCGACAGCCGTAAGTCCCATTATTCATTTCTGTTTTGCTTTTCTACAGAGACATTTCCCGCTTGACTCTGCAAAGTCCAATCTCTTGCTGCTGACTGATGACGCAATGCAGGGTATCGTCACATATTCAGGAATTGGATACCTACCACTCTGAAGCGTTTAACTCTATTTGAAGACTTTGACGGGAACTTCTTTTCCTGTCTCAGATTCTTGTTATAAGATTACGCAACTCGGCTCAATAATCGGGAACTTGGTCTAGCTCTGATGTCTGCTAGCAAAGATTTGGAGAGCCTAGTCGCGTCCTTCATCGTCGACGCTGAGGACTTTCTTTATCCATTCAGGCCTAGAGATGACTTAGACCCCGCTGATCAGAGAGCCGGAATTCAGGATTCCTGGCACTGTCTCGAAACGTTGGCGCTCACGTCGCAAACATTATCAGCACGTCAAGCCCGGAGCAAGGTCAATGATCTTCTTCATGCTGCCGCCAATGCAGCTCGGAGAATGCCCAAGCTACGTGTTCTGGAGATCTGGTATGGACAAGGCGCAAAAGAAGGCTGCATTTTCCGTTACAATCGTAATGGCGGTAAGATCTTCCTTCGAGCAATCTTTGATTCTCTGCCTATGTGGAACAAAGATTGCCAGACCGAGATCTATCCATGAAGACTAACACTTGACAGGGACTATTACTTGGCAAAGTACGTGGCCGTTCGGGTTGGCCCCTCGGGTTCTCAGTTCATGGGCCGAGACGATAAAAAAACACTCTGGCGACCGTTTCCAATATCGTAACATGGTACAGATCGAGGAAATGGGGCTGAATGGTACACATTTCCCTGCGTCTGTTTTGCGCAGTCTATGGTTGAAGGACCTGGCTCTTCATCGGGTATCTTTGCGTCAACTGGAGATAATGGGAGATGAGCCATGATATTGGGGGCGCGCAAAAGTCAGGTGCAGGAACAATACACACAAAGTTTCATCTTACAGATTATGAATTAAAAACCGGGACAAGGGCATTACGAGCCATGGCAGGGCAGAAGAATACCATATAAAGCCCGGTGCACGACGACGTCCTTGGCTCTCCAAACCAACAGCGGCGCGCTTTCCCCAATCTCTAACCAGAAGCGGGCATTGAAGCCAACGCTGTGAGGGAGGCCGTTTGCCTGCAACCTACATAAAGAACCTCAGTCATTCTACAGTCATCTATGCCATTACCTTGTGAGTGTCTTATTATGCTTGAATAAACTACAGTCGACAACGGCCCAAAATACCAAGCTTAAGACGGCGAGGTCTATAAACTACCTCTGCAGTGCTTGTTCGCAACATCGTGGACCATTGCAACGGCTAGGTCGCGATGTAGTCGGAGGGCAGAACACTACTAGTACGCAGGCGACCTACGACATCTGTCGCTTATTCTGAACCGGAAACTGTTATTGAAAGCCTTTTGTATACCAATTTCCTCTCGCCATCGCCACCCGAACCACTCACACCCAGAGGTCCCAGCCTGACTTCCCCAAATACCTTCGATGAAGACCGCGTATAAAACCGGCATTGAAATTTCGACAAAACTTGAATTAACAAATGCGATGATGGCGAACCGTTTCCTGGAAATATTATGAGCCAACAGCTCGCTGGAAGCGGTCTACATCAAGTCAAAGAGGCCATCATTATCGACTTCCAATAGTCCACTCAAATTCTAGCCACCGCCGTCCAGCGTCTTTACGCTTTTCTCTCTTATCCCGAGCCTTCGCACCAGCGGACAGATTGCCTGACTCTCCTGGTACAAAAGTAGTAGGCGGATGCGACTTTTTCAAGTCGCGGGAGACCGGTCATCTGCCGTTTGGGGCGGGGGCAAGACGCTTGGGTTTTGCACTATTCATCTTGGCTACGGCCGACGACATTGTTGAAGAGTACGGCATATCTTAAGGCTTCATTATATACTTGTCCATGAAGTACTCTGGTCGGGAATGGGATGTATGTGAAGCGCAGGCGAAATGAGACCGCCTGCATTACTTCTCTGTTCGTGAGAAGCGCACCATAGCTGTCCGCCAGGTTGACTCGGCTGAGGTAGTTGGCGACTTCATGGTCTGCTATCCGGGTGCAGTAGCTTGTCATTATCATTTTCTCTATGATCTTGGTTGTCTCTCGTCGTCATCGTCGTCGTCGTCGCCGTCTCTCTTTATCTTATTCTCCCAAATAGTCAACAGCACACGTCCGATAGCAAACTCCTCTGTAAGTAACCACAAGAGGACCGGAACATCAGAGTATCACAACCGACATGTTCAGATCACACACTCACTCGAGAAGAATCCGCGAAATGCTTAAACACAGACCTGGAGGGTATTCAATCTATCAACCAACGACCTCCCAAAAAGGAGGCCATTCTACACCACACAAATTACTTTTCTTCTTCTCTTTTTGGTTTCCTCCCCCTTTTCTCCCCCCCTTCGATCCGCCCCAACGCCATCGCAATGCATCAGTGACCAAGAAGTCAGAATCAAACAAGAGGGTGTCTGGTCTTTTCCCACGGGAGCAAGAAGAGGCCGCGTGATCCATTTCCCCTTTCCACTTGTCCTCCAAAACCATACATTCCCAAGGTGTCCTTGTTGACAGCCCCCTTGATACTTCCTCTCTGCAGACCATCATGTTCCTCAATCCGAGAACACACAACGCCCCTCAACCTCAAGCAGCCCCCATCATCAAACTCTCCACCATGCCCACCGTCTGACACGCCAGCTGCGCCTTCTCAACCTCATGCCTCACCCTCCTCTGCAACATCCTAAACCCCTCCCACAGCTCCGCGCTCGCCTCCGCGTACTCAGCATAGAGCTCCACAAGCAACAGCCCGACCTCGACACACACGCCCACGTACCGCGGGTCGATGATATGATCACACGTCCACTTCAGCACCGGCGCGACCGTCGCCTCGTTCCGGCCCTCCAGCGCCTCCCGCGTCGCCGACCGGTGCCGCAGCGCCATCAGCAGCGTCAGCACGCCCAGCGGCGAGTACTCCTTGTTCCCCTGCGCGTCCAGCGCCACGTCCAGCGCCGCGCCGTATCGCCCGTGCCGCAGCGCCTTCTGCCACGCGTTCTCCTTGCTCCGGCTGACTCTTGCGTCCTGCGCCACAATCACCTCCGCCTGGCCCTCCCCCAGCGCCTCGAGCCGCCGCATCGCCGACTGCTTGCGCTTCTTCCCCTTGACGATCTTGTCGTGCTCGTCGAGCGTGCCCGCCAGCAGCGCCGCCATCTCGCGCTCGCGCTCCTTCTGCCGCGCCGCCTCCGGGCCCGTCAGCCGCGTGCGCACCGACAGCACACCGGATTGCATGCCCACGACGAGGTGCCGGTCCGCGTGCTCCGCCGCGTTCGACGCCGCGAGCACGCGCAGCGAGAGGATCGGCGACGGGTACTTTGTGCTCGACACCACGTTCCAGCCCGTCGTCTCGAACACCTTGACGTGCCCGTCGAGGCCGCCCGTCACGAGGCGCGAGCCGCCGGACGCGAGGCCGAGCGACGTGACCGTCTTCTGGTGGTTCGCGATCTGGTGCACGGGGCGCGCGGCGACGAGGTCGAGCACCGAGACGGTCGGCCCGGACGCCGCGAGCAGCGTGGTGCCGTTCGCCGCGAGCGGGAGGACGGCCTCGACGGGCGCCGCGTGCTTGAAGGTCATGACGGCGGCGTTGCTGCGCCCGCCTATCCTGGGGTCCCAGATCTTGACGGTCGCGTCGTAGGAGCCGGACACGATCGTGTTGGTGCCGTTCATGAACTCGGCGCAGCGGACGTAGTCCTGGTGGCCGACGAGGGTGTGCGTGGGGTCGTTGGCGACGAGGTCCCACAGGCGCACCGTCCGGTCGTCCGAGGCGGAGAGCAGCGTGGTCAGCTCCGTGTCGCTGAAGCGGGTGGCCCAGACGGGCTGCTTGTGGGCGTTCCACGTCTTGAGGATGCTGCGGGAGGAGGTGTCGAAGACCTGCATGCGGCCGGTGTCCTCGGCGGCGACAAGGACGCGGCCGTCGCGGCGCAGGGAGCCGGAGCGCGCGACGTCGGCGAAGCGGGTGATTGTCTTTTCGAGTTTGCGGGTGCGCGAGGAGTAGAGCTGCACGCGGGTGCCGGTGGTCACGGCGAAGAGGCCGTCGGAGGAGGTCGAGGAGATGTGCGTGATGGGGTACGACGTCGGCGAGGGGATCTGCAGCTGGTTCTTGAAGGACTTCCAGTAGCGCTGCTCGGCCGTCACCGGGGACGGGCCCGAGGGCAGCTTCACCTGCGGGAGGGGTCCCACGGTAGCTGCCATTTTGGTTGTGTTTGTTGGATGTAGATCGTGTGTCTTTTTATCGTGCGAGGATGGGGTGTAGGGGCGCAATTGGGGTGGTGGTTGCCTGCAGCGCAAGAAAGTGAAGGTATCGTCGTGATGGACGCTGGTAAATATTTTTTGGGAGGTTGAAAGCTTCTGGTAAGGGAAAAAAAAAGATCTGAATTGAGAATTTCTTTGGACGCTAGGCTGGTCTGGGACTAGCGTAAGCCCCACCTTGCCGATAAGATAAGCCGCGGGGCCGGGGAGCTCACTTCAGGGAATTCTTGAAAGGAAGCTCATGGCAAATTGAAGGTTAAGCTCATGGGAAAGGACAGAATTCCATGGCATGCATAATGAAATAAGTGTAACAGAAACCATGATGCTCGTGTTCCAATGAGATTAAACATTGATCCCCCAAACCAGCAATACTCCGTTGCGAGCCCTCTAGAGTCTTACAGCAACAGTCTCGCCGTAAGCCTGAAGCTTCACTTTCACCCAAGCTCAACGACACCTTCAACGCAACCTCATCCCCTTCCTCCCCTTCACCAAAGAACCCGTCAGCTGCCATCTTCGACACAAACGCAAGACCGCCAAGAACCAAGACCTCCCAGCCTGACCCAGGAGCATCAACAAAACCGTACAAACCAACCCCGCAGTCCAAGAGGTAGTCCTACCCAGCTTACCTTTCCCGCGCCACTCTTGGCAAACAGGGCGCCTCCCCAAAACCACATCCCGCAAACTCGGCAAATACACAACACCCCTCACCTCTTTCTACAAGGCAACATCTGACCAAACCACACTTCCCACTCCCCTTCACCTGTCTAAACCCCTCGCCCGCACAACATGCATCCCAGAACCATATCCAAACACCCATAGGTAAAAAATGCTTTCCTTGCTGCTCACCGCCTCAATGATGTGTACTGTCATGTCAGCCGCCTGCG